GCAGGGGTCACACCAGGTCAGCCGAGGTCAAATGAGCTGTTGCAGGTCAGCCGAGGTAGCATGTGCTCATCCAGGTCAGTCGAGGTCAAGTGAGTTGGTGCAGGTTAACTGAGGCAACATGTGTTCGTCAAGGTCAGCCGAGGTCAAATGGGTCCGCCAATGTCATTCAATGTTGATGTAATGCCGAATGATGGGCCGGTAGACCGTCAACGAGCTTTCGTGTGTGAGTTGTTACTGTGGGAATGATTATGTTAAATGGTATGTTTTTCATGCTTCGCACATTCAGAATTAGACCATACATGTAGAGTACACTGAGACGAAAAAGTACTATTATCACTTTTGCATTACCTGACAAGTTGTAAATTTTTGTGTGAATGCAACGCTCGCAAACAATGCCGGTCCGTTTTGTTTTGGTCTGCACAACCATTCACACCAGTTCACATGTGGTCTATGACATAAGCCAACTCAGGGATGGTTATCAGTGTTATACGTAATGCTACATTTCAGTGGTGCAGAAATCCTGTCTAAATTACCAGAACCATTCCTAGAAAGCTGTTTAGGTAATGATACATAAATGATAAGCTGTCAACAGGTAATGGTAAATACCTGATGGGCACAGTATGAACATGAGAAAACGACTTAGTGATTCAAGATGAGTTGCTCCCGTCGATACTTTTGAAACGCATTATGTACACATTTCGCGAGGTTTGTAGCTCAGACGATGACTGGATGAACAGCAATTACATTCTATTTTTCATTAGTGTCGATTTGTGAGATGGTGTGAAGTATATGAGGGGATGCAAACCTGCATGCAGTTTAGGCATGGCAGACCGTATGTGCATGGACGTGTGCACCATAGATTGCATCGCGCAATCGCTGGATTGCGTCAGTCGTTTCAAAGATAGGATCCTAAGCGGCTGTCGTCCTCATATGATTTAGCATCTATAACGGTAACAGTTGTGCTTTGTAGTCCAATAAGTGCGGTTTTATTCTTGCATCAACCCACAGCAACTAAGACTAGTCGGGTAAATGTGCCGCTCGTAAAAGATTCGTCAAGGCTTGTTGGATATTGTACGCACGTATCTTTCACAAGGAACAGGCTGCGATAGCTGGTTTTTACAACCATATTGAGAGCGTTTTAACATTGATGGCTATCTAATTCAATGTGCATACGTGCCTGCATCCATATTTCATAATGGAAAGTGTATCTATGGGTCGCAAATGTCATACTCGAATGGAAGTCAATAGTCATCCAGCACCGTGCATGTCAAACAGCAACAGGCAATAAGCGTATCTGTAAGATGACTGTGTGCAGAAACGGACGAAAACAGGTTCTGGGAATAGCTAAACTAGATCCCGGTTGAACACAATTCAAATGACGAAGTAAATAGGCGATTGAATAAGCCCGTAAACCTAATCCGTAATCCGATTCATATTGTTTCGCAAGAACAGTGTTGAGTAGCTCAATGTTCTGCTTGAGATGATGGAAACTGGTCACTATCATCGATGAAATGGTGTCTCATCTGGTTTCATGCTATTTTGTTTTTCGACTGGATTGGATCCCCGCCGGTTGGAATCCGTTCCTACGTTTTATCTCCTGTCTATTCAGGATCCAATTTCCCAGATCTAAACGGTCACCGTCGCTCGTCAAAACCGCTCACGCATACATGTGAACATTCCAAACAGAGTCCGCCCGGCGCGGCGGCCCTCCCTGCTGCGCTGTCTCACCGTAGATGACCATCTTCTTGGTGGCCGAGTCGACGCCCTGCCACGTGGTCACGCGGCACGTGTACTCGCCCGACATAGCCGTCGTTGGCCGCACGATCTGCACGGCGCGGTGCACCTTCAGCGGGTCATCGCTGACCACGTGACCCAGGTTGACGTGACCTCGGAGCAGGCCGAACGCCTGCGGCGGGTAGCCGGGGATCCACTGGTAGACGGGGCCGGGCTGCGGTTGTGGTACCACTTGACCACCAGGCCGGCGGCGGCTCGGTCGGCCGCGTCCAGCTCGTACTCGCAGTCGAGCACGACGCTGGGCAGCGAGTCGTTCAGCACCACCGACGGCATGCGCACGTGAGAGATGTGCACGTTGGAGGCGCCTGCGGGGAGGGCGGTGCGTGAGACGCAACGACAAGCGTAATGGGCGACCCGACGGGATAGGCGTCTGGCGTCTTGCAGCCATCGAAGGTTTTGCGCGCAAGAGAGACGGCTTCAGGCCAAATGTGACTAGCTTCATGAGAAAATATGACAGATTAAGGGATTTGGCATGTCCTCCTTCGAAAATGAACTTCTACGCGTTATGCAGTTTGGCTGAAATACTGTTATATGTATTTGTGGGAAACTTTGATTTGTAACGTTTGATCGCTCCAAATAAACTGAACCTTTCTCACTGTTCTTCCTGCTCATGAAGCGCGCCTACGATAACAGATTAAAATCCCATCCCAGATATAAAATACTTCCCTCTCTTCCAAAACATCAGCTTTGAAAAGAGTTCACAGCACGCGTACTATCAAATGCCTGACCGCCCAGTCCGTATCCCGCTATCCCCCGACATGTTCACTCATCCTCGCCTCCCCTACACCTGGCGTCCCCACGTGCACACGTGTAACTCGCGGGCCTCACAGCAGCTTCACCACCTGTTCTCCGGGAACCTGGCACGCCCCCCGGGCAGGTCGTCCGCCGCGGTCGGCGGTCACCGCTTTTGTTAAACACCCCAGCCTGCGGCCCAGCCGCGCCAGCACATGGCATCCGGCCGCACTCCGGCCATGCATCTGCGTCCACCTAATCTTGCAGATTAGATGTCGGAGTCCGACTGGGACTGCTGGCGGGGGCGAGGAGGACCAGCGACGGGACCAGCGGCGACCAGCGACAGGCGAGACCAACGAGACCGGCGGCGGGACCGCCTCCTGCGCGGTCGGCGGGGTCGCTCACCTCGCGCTCTCGCGACGACGCTTATTCAGGGGTCGAATTATGCATAAGATCGGCACCCGGCGGCGGCCGGCGCGTGATTATCTCATAACTCGGGCGGGGGCAGAGGTGGCGGCCCGGGGGCGGCGGCGGCGGTGGCGGCCCGGCGGCGGCGGCGGCGGCTCCCGGGCGGCGCCGGAGCCGGGTGCCGCCGCCGCCGTGGCCTCGGGTCTGGAGAGCTCTAGCGCGCCGCAGGCCTACAGCGGAGGGGTGAGACCGTCTCACCTGGTACTCCGTGCCGGCGTGGAGCCCAAGGAGTGAGAAGCAGGCGACATGCAGTCGCGCGTTGGAAGCTGTAAAGGAGCTGTGGGTGGCCAGCTAGTAACCAAGGTTTGCATGTACTTGGTGGTTGGCCCTTCTATGCACATTTATGTCCATTCTGCTACTAGTGCAAGTGAGCTTGGCATGCCGCTGCCCGTTCAGGCGGCCTCCATCTCGGATCGAAATGGCCATAGCCGCCATGAGACAACTTACTAAAAATGCCTTCCTTTAAAAAGTATCGGGTAATGCGCAAAAATGCTTACTCCAAGCGACTAATGACGGGATATTAGGCATGGAAAACGACAGGGCGTGGAGCGAGAGTGTGAGGCTCAAGCTGACAGGCGTTGTAAAAACAGGTCAAAAAAGTTCCAGTGCTTCTACGGCGATCGACGGCAAGAGCCATGAGATCGCATCCTGGGGTTTTCTCTTGACACGCACGAAATATATATTTGCTTAGAATTCGGTACTAGCCGCTAGAATTTCCGGCAACTCATTTGAAAAATCCAAATTGTCTGTTAAGGCGTTGATCGCTCTGGGGAGAAAGTTTACCCAAGAATGCGCGCCATTCATTTATCGTTGTGCTAGACAAGATACTGCTGACAGAGGGACTGATCATTCGGCGGAAAAGAAACGGCAGCTGCGGCATACTGGGCATGAAGTCTAGCGGAACCCTAGCGCTGGAATCGGATCAAGGCTACCGAGTGCCACGAGAATGTTCATGCACCTGCCTGCTTTCCACCAGCTGTGTGAGCAGGGTGGGCAGGGCAGGGTGGAGCTGAAGACCACAGCCGCAGCTGGAAACCGGCCGCGACGGAACCAGTCCTGGCCCGCTTCAATTACGGACAAACAATGCCTCCACGGGGACAGCGCGGACAAAAACGGCCGGCGCCGGCTGTCACCTGACCCGGCTCGTCACCCGGTCCGCCCGGCGCCCGTCCCGACTGGAAACCTGCTCCCGCCCGGGGCCGACCGATGGGGAGCCACCGCACGCGCCGCGGCCGCCGCCCACCGCTCACGAAACCGCCGGCGGCGTACGCGCATACACGTGAACCGGTTTCGAATGATCGGCGTGCGTGTTCGTGTCGGTGACGAACGCGTGGCTCGAGGACCTTTGCGCTTTTACAAAGACATCAATGTGAATGAGCATCATAGCGAACGTTTTGTTTAGTTAGCATCCCCATGTTTACCGCGAAGCGATTAAGGCACTCACGGCGGCGGCGATGGCGATTTTCGCACCCTTGCCGCACTTTGCTGCGCTTCTTTGTCTGCTCGTTGACCCCATGCATACGTATTGCGGCACACAAGCAATTTCAGGTGCTGACATCAGGTCGGCAATCTCCGGCCACTTAACCCGCGGAGTTTAATCAGCGTCTACACGCTCGCATGGCTGGCACGTTTGCATGTCAGGCTCCACCACCCCACGTACCTGATTTTCGTGAGCAAACTCACGTGATTGTTTTAACAGCTCGTAAAATTGCAGGCTACAGTTATTCGCAAACCGTGGAACGGCACGACTGTGTCACCTACGCAGTACATGTGCTTTATTATTGATGAGCTGCAGCTGAACAATCACGGTGCGTCCGAGCGTTCCCCATTCTATCCAAATTGACAACTTTTTGCCGCTCGACCCCGACAGAATGTCAACCTGTTGAATAAAGTATCAAGTCATCAATTTCAAAGCGCAGCAAACTTGCCCAGACATTCGCATTGCATTTCTTATCAAGAACTGTTAGGTAAAAAACAAGCATTGTTAGCATCACGTGCGAGTGCAAGTCTGACTCCTCCAAAAACGCTGCCGAACAGTGCCGCCCGGTCGCGGCGCGGTTCGTAGAAGGGCACAGGCGCTGCACCTTGGTCACGTTGATGTGTGGTAAGTGATATCAGCCAGCGCAGGGGCGACAGGCGAAAACCTCGGCGTGACAAGAAACCGGTACGAATCAGTCACCAGCATCACCGATCCCTCGCCCCGGCCGAGGTCACACAATCCCCGCGGCGCAGCCCCGTCAGAACGCAGCGCTCGGCGGCTTCGGCCGGCCCGCCCTCGTGGCCGCCGCGTTACTCACAACTGTACCGCCCCGTGCTGCCGCGCGGAGCGTCACAGGGCGGGGCTGCGATCGGCAGCTGCCGGCCGACCGCCGGGCTGGGCGGGGCGCGACGGGCCACCCGCGGGACGCGCCGCGCCGGCCCTGAATCGGAAGCGTCACACTTCCGGTCGGCGCGGCCGCTTCCGGCCGGCCATGCGGCGCCACAAAAGTGACATGCACGAGCCGAGCGGCACGCACGGTACCTCTTTCAGCAGGATTTCACAAGATCGGCACCGCTGGTGACGTGGTATGGCAGCTGTGTCAACACTACCGTTTGCCGCTTATCTACAACAGTGTAACGGAAGTCGTCACCACGAAGATCAAAAGGAGCGTGGAATGTGTTGTTCGTGTTATCGGATGAGAGGTGCGATGCATATCTGTAGCACGTTCACTGGAAATGCACATCTGTTAAATGCTTGCTTGTGAGGTAGTCTTCGGCATGTCACGCATGTGAATCATGAACGGTACCTGTGTGTGATCGTATCATTAAGACATATGGGTTATCAGATTACCCTGCCCCCTTTACTTACAAAACAGCCAGATGAAACAACTTTTTCTCAAATGAAATGTCACGTTTACCTGACATTCATTACAGAAGCTCTGTACAATTCGTTCCATCAATACTTGTGATGATTATGCAAAGTTGCACCAATGCGGCTGTACAGGTAAACCTAAGGTAAATTGGATCAGCCAAAATAAGAAAAAGGGCATGACAAATCTGACCCGTGCGACTGAGCAAATAACCACGATGATATCTCACCGAGTGCGTGTCCGAGCAGAGCTGCGACCGCCACCATTCGAGTCCACACTGCGGCCGGGGCCGCCATCGCCGTCCGCTTCGCGACCTCACGGCTCCGCTTCACGACCTCACGGCTCCGCTTCACGACCTCACAGCTCTGCTCGGCCTCACATCACGAGCGGCGAGCCTTCCGCGCCGCGAGTCACGACCGTGAGTGGGCTGGCGCCGGCTAGGCGACCGCTCCAACGCCGTCTGGGGTGCCACTGACGTCACCGACCCGGCGTCACCACCGTCACTGGGTTTCGCCGGCGTCACTGAGCGTCACGCCCGTCACGGGGTGTCGTGGTGGCTGCACGGGTCCGGAGAGGACGGTAGGGATGCTCTCGACTCGCCGCTTGCCGCCCGCCGGCCGACCGAGGTACTGTAGCCACGCGCGGGGGACAAACCGAGCTGTGGACGCGCCGCTAGCGCCGCCCGCGGCAGCCGGGCGAAGCTTAGCGGCGGCGCTAGATGGGACGCGGGATCGTTAGCCTTTTGGCGAAGAACACAAGTAAATGTGTCGATCCTGACAGAAATCCTTTGTGGATAACGTGGTAGTAGCCGTGGTGGGAGCTCAAAGTTAGTAATAATCACGATTTCGACAAGCATCCACGAAGGTTATGAAAAACCTCGAATTACACAGAAGACAGTTTTGATACGGAACAACATGCCTGATATGCTATTCTTGGCTCGTGATATGCCCCCGCATCGGAGGTCACTGGGCCGTGGGAAGGGGGGCATTTGGAATCATCCGATTTTGCCCTTTGCTGGTAGGAACCTCGTTCGTTTTCCAGTCAGCTGTTCCGTCCAATCTCAGAGTTGCATTACACCATGCACGATTTTCCGTCATTTGTGGTTAACCGGCTTCATTTCTCGTTCAGTTCGTCATAAGTGACTTGACTTATTGGAAGATCGTGTACTGTTTGCTTATTGTTGCCTTATTAACCGGTCGTTACATATTCCACTGGTATATTTTAATACATTGACATGTTATTTTGCATGAAGATGTTAAAAATTGTTCTTGCATTATTATCATAAACATTTCAAGACTTTCTTTAGCTATTTTATAACCAGCAATTTCCACAATGATTTGCACATCAACAAAGCGTCCCACATGACACTTTTTTGATCAGATCCGGCTATGACAGAACTTCAGAAAAATGTCGTTCCGTTTCTAGAACCATCCAGATGTCATAAGACTGAAGTCATCGTCATCTTACCGCTGGTGACACAGCTACATCCCTGATAGAGCATCAGGCTCATGTAACTCAACTGAGCGACATCTACGCGCTGTCAGCCTTATCACGGCTGCGGTGCAACCGTGCACAAGCAGAGGCACTGAGCCTGCTCTCAGGATCAGGGAGATGGGCCTGCCGTCTGATTGGTGTCGGTCTGCAGGGGATTACGGGAGTGTGGACTGTGCGAGACTTGAGAGCAACAGGGACCAACAGATTGCTATCGGCGTGAAGATCTGCGAACGCTTTCGTCGTCTCTGTGTGAAGTTGAGTATGTTGTTTCAAATATGCAATGCGTGAACGTAATATTTAAAAACGTTATGTTTCAATGAGTAAACGCAAAGACGCACCACCAAACGCGATTTCTAAGGGCATTCATACTTTATGCACTGTTAGATTGCTGCTTAGCAACTCGCCTAGATATGTCAACGCGGCAAAATTATTCCGCGCATCACTCAGATACCGCGTGGGCTTGCGACATGCCACCAAACAACCCAGCATCATGCCTGACAAGACAAGGACGTCAAAAATGCGTAATCCGATAGCTGGTAACGGTGTGTGAACGTCGCAACAACAGCCCACCAATTAGTGCACGGCTTGGTTACAATGCGTCCGGCCATCAGCAGAGCGTGACGTAGTTGTGCCCTGGCCGAATCGAAGAGCCAAGGCATATTTTGAACAATTTGAGGCAAATAACTGCGGACGACAGCGGACGGCCGCATCTGCAGTCTTCCACCATCTGACAAAACAGCAGGGCGTTCAGGATGCCAACACCCAGAGGAAAAACTTCACGACGCAGCCCGGCTGCCAAAGACGAGCGGGATTGCCGCCGCGGCAAAAACGGAGGACCACCAGCCGCGTCTGGGTTAAAGCGGCGCAGCGCGGCGCGCGAGCGCACCCTTTGTCACGCGCCGCTCGCGCGCTGTCGCGGTCGTGAGGACCGGCTGGGCGTCCGATCCGTGGACGGTGTGGAGGGCGGTCCACCCGGGGTGGAGCGGGTCCACGCGACGGGTCACTGGCAGACCATCGACTGGCAGCCGACCGCCTGCAGTCGCTGCCAGTCACTGGCCGCAAACGTCGTCACAGGCGCCCGTTCTCAGAAGCCGCCTCTGAAGGGTGGGGTGCAGGGGGCGGGTGCAGCGTGCAGCGCGAGGCGGTCTCGGCCGGCAGCCCACGACAGCGCGGAGCTGGGGAGCTGGGAGCCGGCCGGCGGGGAAACGCGAATCGAGCCCATTCTCACGGCTGTAAAGCTGGGCAAGGCCACGCTCTCTGCCTGAGAAACACTCTCCCGTAAAAACCGCCCGTGGGACGTGGAAAACAGAACGGAGAATTATGCCGGTGTGTGTTCACAACTGCGCGCTGGAAAGCTAGCGGTGATGTGATGTGATGTAACGGTGCGATGGGTGCAGAGTAGAGGCTTTTACGGGTGGGGTTTCTTTTGACCAATCCACTCACAATCCCTGGGGTTGTGCCCATCCCTCCCGCTGCGTATTTCTAGTCGCTTGTACTCTTCCGTTATCCACCTGTTTCCATTTTCCAGCACTTCATAGTTCTAAGGTATGAAATCAGTTAAGGAAATTTTACACCGAAATATGCTGCTTTGCGTTGATAACTGCAAACGTCATGAACGTAAAGTATCATTAACAAAAGCGTGAGTGGTCATATTGTGCGACATTGCTTAGTGTCTTTTGAACATTTCGTAAACTTTTTGCCCAACCACTACCCATGCCCGTAAATTCCCCATAATTGCCCATTCCATATGGCTAATCTTGGGCTTAACCAGGCAGCGATGTGCTCCATTGCCGGGAGCTCTGCCAGCTCACTACCCTCAGAGTGTTGTCCCCATTAAAGAGAGTCTTAAAAACGCCGTTTCCATCTCATGTTTACAAGGTGTCCTTACGGCAGCGCTGTGAGGACTCGTTTTCCCCATTTGGTGCATTGTAACACTTCACTTGATCCCGGCCGGTGTTTTTCGGCACTCGCGACCACCTGAGAAGATATGCTTTTCTGCTGGTTTCTCATAGTCTGGCCGTTGGATCGGAGATATCAGAATGGTGATACGTAGCCCTGATTTATATGATCCACCAGCCCTTGCGTTGAAATCTGAAACGTACGTGATGATGTTACGGGCCACACGGGTACCTTAAAAACCAGCAAAATCTTGGCATTATCTCAAAACGCTTTGATAATCGCTGGCCCTAAATTGGCACGAAACGAAACAGCGCACTCCTGCGCTTTAGAATCTTTCCATACTGTTGACGAAAGTGAATGGTCAAGGTCAGATCGTGTCAACGGCGTGTCAAGTCTGGGTCAGATCACTTCATTTGACATGATGTTTCTGCTCTTCCAGTTCACATGTCATCTATATGTCACTAGTTAATGAATGTATCAGCTCTACCCGCATATTTGTATCAGAAATGTGCCCAAGCAGATATTTTATTTCACAGTTATAACTTGACCTCACATGAGCCCTGATGGTAACCTGCTATGCTGCAGGGAATATCTTCTAACCCTGACTGGGGACGGCCATGCCGGGCGACTAAGGCCTTCACGCTAAGCCAAGACAAGCAAGGCGGATGCGAGTTACTGCAAATCGAGTGGGAAAATCACCGTGGAAACCTTCCCTGGTGACGTAACAGCTTGCTGAACTACCCCAACATTGCACAATTTTTCTTCCAGTGTGTCAAACTTTGCTAGTTGGCTATAGTCATCCTATTATATACAGGAGCTTTGGTAACCCTGCCTGGCGCGGTTCGGAAGCTACTGACGAAACTTGGAAGGGGATGACTTTAATAACCCTCCTCCGACGGTCCGATTATAATCGCGAAAAACGTGAAGCAGTACGCGTGAGGCTGTTAGTCTATGATTTTCGAGGTGCTGGATGAAACATAGCATCTGGCTTTACCCTCTTTGTCATTGATTTTTGATATATACAGAATGCATTCGAATAGAATGCCGTTGCACTACGTTGAAGCATACAATGCTATGAAATATGAAACATGACATACAATGAAAAAAGCCTGCAATGAAACACGACATCTTGGCGTTATCACTCTGCCATTGATTATGCATACATAATGCACTCGAACAGAGGGCTTGCACTACATTAAGCATACCATAAAGCCTGGTTGGTCCTAAAACGGGGCAAGTTAAGCCTACCCGGCTGTCAGACGGCACCTCTCTTTATTGGAGAGCTCGGCTGATCCTTTGGTTGTCAACAGCACCATTTAAAGTTAACAATGACTTTGATCTTTGTAGAGATGCCTGCGATTTTCTACGACACTTGACGCATCTTGTGATATCATCAGCAGGGTCGTTTGATGTCCGCAATGACTCGAGTCTTTAACAGGATGCCTGCAATTTTAAACGACACTGCCTCCTGTGACGATGCGTTTTCAGTCATTTAGTCTAATGAGGCATGTCATTAAGGCTTTACGCTCAGCTCATGGAGCACACAAAGCTAGTTACAAGAAAGGGTCGCCACAACAGCGATGCGTCACAGAGTGGCGGGCGAGCGGAACTTCAGACAGATGTCAAAATACCGTGAGCGAATACCGATCGTGGTGCTGGGTAGGTTATTTGCTTGCTTCACGGCTTTCTCAAACTCCCGTCTTTCGGGTTAGGCAATGGTGCTGACTTATCTTCAAGAGTCATCTGTAGCGTTTCAAGCATTTTCGCGATGCCTTTAACAGTGAGTTGTCATGAGCAGCTAACATTCTTTTTTATAGGCTCAAGGTTAACTATACACGACTTTCATTTCGACCAGCGACAGGAATCAAAATTCTAGCCCGTAAGTCAACGACTTTCACATCGGCCTACACTGCTTAGATCAGATGTTGGGATAAAGGGTAGTTCATCATCAGTGATGCCATCAGTGATCATCATCCAAGGAATGTCGCAATCTACGCGCTTTCGGCCACCTGTGCCGTCAGTGAAAGACACGAATGCAACTGTGCGACATATGTCAACGCGCTGACCTACCAATGAGAGACGCCGCGGCCAGATCAACGGTCTGCGAGTGAGAGTCGATGAGAGACGTCCAGATCTGACCACTGATCTGCAAGTGCAAGCCGGTGAGAGCTTTCGCGGTCAGGGCAATGACCAGCGAGTGCAAATCGGTGAGAGATG